TGATGACGTCTCCCTCTCTCTCTCTTGCGCCCTGAACTTGAAAAACTTTTGCAGGGGGTCGGGGGCGGGCTCTCTTTGTGGCGTTGATTGTTTCAAAGGAAAAATGAATAATGGCCGCGCCAAGCACCTCAATTCCCATTGATCACACACGCACACACACACACACACACACGCAGGCAGGCAGGGAACAATAGAGGGAAGGAAGGCGGCCATGATTTGCCGACGGCAAATGGCAATCCCAAAAAAGCAGCAGCAGCAGAGCAAAGAGAGCAGAGAGAGAGGCCCCTTAAGAGAGCGCTGGTAACCACCCTCGTGCGAGGAAACAGCTGCTGCCTTAAGAGAGTTCTCTCTTATCCTGGTGGGCTCTTAAAACGCTTGCCGTCTCTGTTGCGCACAGCTGTTGCTGCTGCTGTTTTGGCGCCAAAACCAGGAAGGAAGAGAGAGAGAGAGAGAGAGAGAGAGAGAGAGCGAAATGTGTTTTCGTTTCGTGTTTAGGTCAGGGCGCAAAAAAGGTATTTGTGTTTGCTTTTGCTTTTGCGTTTGCCTTTGCCTTTTCTACTTTTCTCTGCTTTTAGTCCCTCAAGTTTTTATTTTATTTCCTATATTTGTGTCTCCTTTGTTTTTCTTTGTTTTATTTTCAATCGATATTTAATTCCATTGCCAATTTTGTTGCACTAACGATAACTGCTGGCGGATAGACCTGCATATTGATTTATTTTAAACGTTCGATTAACATAAATTCTTCTCCTTCTCCTTCTTCTGTGTGGCACGCACAACTTTCGATCTTTTAAGGCATTCGCATACAAGCATCAACATGTTGCCGCTGTCGTCCATCGTGTGGCACATTAGCACGTCTGACCCCCATTCAATGGCAATTGGTTTTTTGGCCCCAACACCCATCCAAGGGGCGTCTTCTCTTTTGTATCAAAAATTTGCACACAAATTATGTTATTTGCTTTTGTTTCGCAAACACTGAAAGAAATCTTCAAGCAAGAACCGAAAAAAAGGACAACAAAAAATTTAGCAAAATATATATCATTTCTGCTATGGTTTTTCCTTTTGATTTGCTAAGATTTCCTTTAATATCTCTAATATTTCTGCAAAGATTTCTTAAATCTTTAAGTAAGAACCGAAAAAAAGGGCTACAAATAATTTAGAAAAATAATTATAATTTTTTATAGGGTTTTTCCTTTTGATTCACTTAATTCTTCGGCTTCTTCGACCTCCTTTAATCCCTCTAATATTTCTGCAAATACTTCTACAATCTTCAAGCAAGACCCGAAAAAAAGGCTACTAAAAAGTTACAAAAATTTATATAATTTTTTATAGAGTTTTCCTTTAAAAAAAAAAACCAGAAAAAAGCTTTAAAAAATTTTTTATAGGTTTTATCCTTTTGGTTCACTTAATTTTTTGGTGGTCTAAGACCTCCTTAAATTCCTCTAATATTTCTGCAAAGATTTCTTGAATCTTTATAATTTTTTATAGTTTTCATCCTTTCGATTTCCATCACTTTTCGGCTTCCTAGGACCACCTTAAGTCCCTCTAATATTTCTGCAAACATTTCCAATGGCAATTCCCAATCAAAAACCACTCCGAACCGATCCAATCCGCGACAGACCTTCGCATTCCAACGCATCCGCTGTGGTATCTGTATCTGTGTATCTGTTTGCCTGTCAAGTTGCTCAAGATATCCGATATGTATCCGTATCTGTATCGATTTCAATTGGGAGCCAAGAGCCCAGCCCAACAGAAAATAATTAAGTTCTCAAAAAGAGAGATAAAAATCATGTTAGCCGCTGGATCAATTAGTTGATTTTTTAACCATAAAACCAGGCATATGTATATCAATTTTTACTCTCCTTTGGCTTCGTTTATTCTCCCCCCACCCCCCTTTGGGCTTTTTTTACGCCCCCAACAATCCGCTTGAGCTTGAGAGCATAAATTTACATATGAGAATGTCTTGAGAATGTCTTGAGAATGCCTTTTGAAGGCTGTTGAAATGTGGCTGCTGTGGTGCCACCTGCCACCTGCCGCCTGCTTGCCTTGCCCTGAAGCCCCAAAAGGAGGCACCGGTGGAGTCCCACCATCCCAAACGTGAAGTCTGGGGATACTGGACATGCACATGCTCGAATGTCAGTAACTCATTTATCGCTTAACTAAAAGACGGGTAGACCGTGCCCCTGCCTCTCTGCAGGCACTCCCCAAAGGCCTCTTTTACCCCACCCCAAAGGCCTCTTTTACCCCACCCCAAACCCCCCTCCTGCCCCTCCACAAACCCCTCTCCTGCCCCTCCACAAAAGCCTCTCCTGCCCCTCCACAAACCCCTCTTTTACCCCAACCCAAAAATCCTCCTTTTGGTTTCGGTTTCTGTTTCGATTTCTTGGCTTTTGACAACGAATTTGCATGCACTGGAAACTGTGTTTTGAGGCTTGTTAATTTTGACTAAAGTTTGCGCTGCAGTTACGTGCCACAAGAGTCCGGCTCCGCCAAGCCACAGGCCATTCCATTGCGTGACTGAACCCAAAAAAAAAAACAAAAATCCCTCGAGAGACTTACGCATGCGCGCGCTTACAAACGCCAAAAACAAAGCAAAAGAATTGGTAAGAAACAAATAAAAATAAGTAAAAAAAAAAAGGCAAGAAAGAAAAAAACCGGAGTAAAATGTGAAACAAGAACCAAAACAAAGTGTTCGAATGTTTCCGTTTCAAATTCTATGGAACAAGACATTCGCCAAGAGGCAGGGGCAGGGGCAGGAGCCAGGGGCAGGAGCCAGGGGCAGGAGCCAGAGAGGCAAAGAGGCAAAGAGGTCTCGTTTCCCAGTCCCATTGTGCCCGGACAGTGGGACCATCTCTGGGGCAGAAAGAGAGAGACAAACAATTGTTTCGGCTTTAAGCCAAAAGAAGAGGAGTTTCCCTCTAAGAGCAGACAGTGGGCCAGAACGGAGGTTAACCCATTTTTCTCATCTTTTTCCTTCATTCAAAGAAATTCTTAAATTTTTGCCACCACACCCACTGTAAAACCCCACCTCTAGCTCCACTGCTGCTGCCTGTTGCTCTGGCGATTGTGCCGCAGATAAAAGAAAGGCACTTGAGCATTACAACAAGGGGGCAGAGGGGCAGGGAGGCAGGGGGCAGGGAGGCACAGCCTGGCCAAGATTTCATTTTGGTTTTGTGTCTGCGGCGCACAAAAAAGTGCAAGAGAATTAACAATTCATTTTATTGTTAAGTATCCACAGTGCGGGGCCTCTTACGATGCGGCTTAGACCACATCTTGTTAGGGCCTGCCCCGGCCTGGCCTGGCCTGGCCTGGCCTGGCCTGGCCTGTGTTGTCTAGACCCTGCCACAGAGACCCTGCTGCCTGGCCCCCTCTTTGCAGCAGCATCCTCTTCCTCCTACCTTCAGCAGAAGCTTCCTTCCTTTGGTTTCCTCTTCTTTCTTTGGTAGACTCCTTTTTACTCATTTTTTCCTAGTTAATAATGCGATAATTTCATTTTCATTCAAAGCAAATCGAAGGCCAGAAAAGGCAACATCAAAAGCAGGAAAGTCGCAGGCTTAGATGCCCTTAAAAAAGATAGTTTCTAGGGTAGAAAAATAGCAATATTTTGGTATAGGAATCTATAAAATATATTACTCAAACTCGGAAAGCATTAAGCTATCAATTCTAAAGGTTTTTTTACACCTCACTGGTCATACAGCAGCGCCCCACGGCTGTTTTTGCAATTTCTGCTTGAAAATCCGTGGAATTTCCTTTCAAAAAAGACAATTTTCCTTGGACCCTTCGTAGGGTAGAAAAATATGAATATTTTGATATAGGGATCTGAAGAATATATTTCTTAAACTCTGAAGACATTAAACCTTCAATTCTAAGGTTTCTGCATCACTAGTCATGCAACAGCGCCCCTCGGCTGTTTTTGCAATTTCTGCTTGAAAATCCGTGGAATTTCCTTTCAAAAAAGACAATTTTGGTAGAATTTTTCCTATTTGAAAGCTCAGATACGATTCGGAGTACGTTTTGTGAAATTTTTGAAACATTTTCCAACACTTAGACTCTTGATTTTTATTGGCACTATATTTTTCTGCATTTTTTCATTAAAAAATCGTAATAGATAATTTTTACAAATTTTTTTTAAGCATAAAATCTAATCTTATATTGCCTTGAAATATATTTCTATATTTATTAAAATCATTCAAGCTGTCTTTTCTTTAGTAGAAATATCATAATACCCCTCTTGGGGTAGGGTATAAAAATAGCCACAACAAGAGGCCTGGCCTGCTACCGTATTACGATCAGAAAGAGGCCGAGCACCCAAACCAAAAGCCTAGAAAGAGTCAGAGATATGCAAAAAAAAAAAAAGACAGAGAGACACAAGAAAGAGAGAGAGGGGCAGAGGGGGGGTGAGCAGGAGAAGACACTGTTTTCTGTTGCTTTTGCGAATTTCATGGCGTGTTGCGGCAACATGTTGCCCAAAAGACATGGTACAAAACGGACCCAGAGATCGGCCTTTCATTCGTTTCGGACTTCGATCGAGAGGGAGGGGGGGCTAAGGGGGGGGCTAAGAGGGGGGTAACCCTGATGCATGCACAAAATTTAAATTATGTTGTTTTGTCGCATGTTTTTCCTGCTTTTTGTTGTATCCTTTTGCTGGCTGTGCCTTAAAGCGTATTATCAATGAATAAATGAAAATGTCTTTTGTCCCAATGCAGGGGGGGTTAAGGAGAGTGGGGGGGGGGGGGGGGGGGGGACATTTTTGCTTGGCTTTACATCTTCCTTAAGCTGCTGTTTTGTGTCACAGCCAACCTGTCATTTGTACATTGAATTGCTGCTCGAGAGGAGCTCTTTGGAGTCCTCTGTTCCCCTTGTAAAAATTTACATAAAATCACAGGAAGCACTTAGGATTAATAGGGGGCACTCCTCCCCCTCTAGTCCCTCTCCCCTTTTGGTGGTGTCATGGGTTAAGCATTTGCCGTGTTCGGCATTCAATTTGTGGCTTGATTTCTTACCTTTTATGATGCGCTATACGGCTGTAATCCATGTAGGACATGCACTTTGTTTATCCATTCAAAGGCGCTAAAGAGGGTAGTCCTGTAATCCAAAATGGTAATCCAAATCCAAAGCGAAGGGTAATCCAAATTGCACTGAAATTAAACGAAAGACCCATCAAAATTAGTTTTAAATCAAGAATTTTTGTTTGGGGGCAAAATTAACACCACATTCTTAGGCTGGCGCCATCTGTCTGCGGGTAGTGGAAGCGCGCAGATGGCAGGGGGAATTTCAATGGGAATTTACCCGTTGTTGTGGGGGATTTTAATGCATTTTTTAATAGAATTATTTAAACAATTTTCTGTATTATTTATTAATAACTAAATAAATCTGTTTCTAAGGATTTTTCTGGACTATTTCTTAGGTTTTAATTGAGGGATATTTCTAGGGTAAAAATAGGGGAAATTAAGGTATTTTCAGACAATTAAATTGGGAAATTTATTTTTTGGTTATAAATTTCCTTACAATAATAAAATGTTTAATACAAAATCAGAAAAAATATAATTTTTCTGAATAAAAAAAAAAGAAATAAAAATTATTAATATCTCGGCAACAAAATTCAACAATTATTTTGGTTTAAAGGTTTCCCCGAGCCGGAGCAATTTTTTTTTTTATATCATTTAAAGAATTTAGGCATTTTCTAGGTTTTAAATAAGTTAAATTGAGGGATTTCGTAGCAACTATTTTGGGAAATTAATTCTTGGGTTATACATTTCCATAGAAAAAAATGTGTTAAATAAAATATCAGCATTTTCCTGAATTGCCAATCAAATTTAACAACTTTTGAGGTTGAAAGGTCTCCCAGAGCGGTAGCAATTATTTCTGTAACCAAAAGAAGTTCCGTTCCGGGCTGCTCCTTTGACATTTTCCCACCTTTTAATGTCAGCGAAGCGAGCGACCAACGGATATGGGGAGAGCCCCAAAAGATCGACAAAAAAAAGAGGCCCCAAAGAGCAGGAGAAAAAACAATAAGAACGAAAGAACTGCGGCGGCAACGAGGAAGCTGCAACCAGAAGTGGCAGAAACTGTCAGAGAATTTCAGTTGCCATTCGGTGATCATTTCGGGGGTTTTTTTAGGGGGGGTGGGGCAGGCTCCTCCGCTGTGGAGGGGCTGTCATATCCTTTTGCGGTAAACGACATTGCCGCCTTTTTGGAGGGGGGTACCGGGCAGGGGGAGCAGGGGCGAGCGCGCTTCTTCTCATTCATTTGCGCCAAATGTCATTATTGTTGCTCGTTTGTTGCGCGCTTGCACCATTCTGTGGCAGTGGCAGCATCTTCTCTGTTGCTTGGGTCTTTTGTAAAACTCCCTCGTTAAACAGATTATTTTCACACCGACTGCCTGCTGCAGGGAGTCGATTGCAGTCCAGTGGAGGCAAGTCTTTGGCTGCTGCCAATTTGGTAAGAGAATTGAATGGGGAGGCCCACAAATGGTGGCACGAATGGAGCGGCAGGCGGCAGGCGGCAGGCGGCTGAGAGTCAGGCGTTAATAATGCGATTTCAATGCAATTGCTGGCTGGCCGGTTTCCCGCTCTCAAAGTGCGAAATGTTTTTTGTCGGGGGGACAGAAGGAGTGACACATGTATGCACTTGGTTTAGAAGGTTGCCCCAACAATGGTGCCCCGTTCGAGGGACTCCTTCTTCCTCTCCGACTGTTAATTGCCCAAAAGGAGAGGAGTATTGTTGGTGCAAAAACAGTTTTGATGGTGCCGGCCGATGGCTGAAGATTAGATTAGATTTTGGTATCAAAAGAAGTTCAGATAGTGCCAGGAATATCAGGGAAATATGAATACATTCTGGAACTTCAGCGACAGATCATCGAAGGGGATGTTTTGTAGGTTTGAAATTGATGAAATAATTGATTTTCGAATGCAAAAATAAATAAATAAAATGGTAAGTAATTATATTTAAATATAAATGCAATAAAAAGTCATTTTAAAAGGGCCTAGACTTACACAAAAAATAGAAAACCTACAAAAACAAAATATATTCAATTTGTAGGGAATACGAATATAAAAAAATATATAATTTACTAAATTTGTAGCGAACATTTTTATATTAAATAGGAAAATATTTAATTTTAATATGATATACTTTTATTTTTAAAATGGAAATTTTTTTTTAGTTTTCTAAAATTTGTACTTCCTCAAAAACACAAAATATGTATAAAAACAAAAGTATTTTGCCTAATTTTCTGCATTTCTAGTATTTGAAGTAGTGCCAGAATCCAATATTTATGATATTAATATAATATATATAGAATATATTTAATATATTAATCCAATATGATAACCATCATAGGCTAAGGCTTTCAAACACCTAATTCTATTACAAGTTATTTTCTCGTCTTTCTTGTTTTTTTGGGAATTTTTATTAATTTTTTTGTAGTAATTTCCGTAATTTATTATTAAGGCGCTAAGGCTGAATATTTTTTTAACATTTTCTGCCTTTTCAAACACTTAATTCTATTAAAATGTTCCTTAATAATTTATCTGGATTATTTTAGATTTTTATTAATTTTTTTTTGTATTTATTTTGTATTACTTTTCATAAATTTATTGCCAGAAATCCACATAAAACCCGTACAAAATCCCTGTAAAGTCCCTGTAAAATCGCTGTAAACTACATGTAAAATGCAAGGTAAACTAACTACATTCTACATTGACATTCCCATTCCAGAGGCGGACACGCTCTAACGCACGTAGCCACCGACTCATTGGAATAAAGGAGAAAGAGGTGGAGGAGAGAAGAAGTAGGAAGAGGGGGGAAATTAGCGAAAGAAACCCTTGGAATGCGCAAACGGTTTTATGGCAAGACACACTCGAGGCTTCAAGGGGGCGGATCGAAAGAGGAAGAGGGGCGGGGCGGGGCCGCAATAAAACGTAGCAAAGCCGAGTGGGGGAGAGACGGGGGAGACGGAGACCACCTACGCGTAACTGTTAACCAAATTTGCGGCGAGTATGCATAATTTTTGCAACTATTTATTTGCGTTGTTTGTTTTGATCGCAAAAATATATATTTTGCGCGCCACTGCGGCTGCGTAATTTGTTCGAAAGTCGCCATCGGCCTCCTCCCCCCTCCCCCCCACCGCCCGTGACACGTGAATGACAGATCATAGAACCACATCACGGCCAAAAACATCCATAAATATTTTTGTCATTTACGCTCTGGCTCTCCGGATTGAATTTATGGTCGAGAGTCGTAAAAAAAAACCGTAAAAAGCGAGCATCATTAAATTAGAAATAGTCGCAAAATAGTCGTCCGTCCGTCCATCGATTGTGCACAAAATATTTAATTAAACGATTCAATCGATGGATCGATCGATGTGTGGGTGGGTGGGTGGCCCACCCACAGTTTGTCTGATTTATTCAACGCGGACTTCAATTTTAATGAGCGGCATTTGAATGCGCAGCCGTCGTTGGCCGAAAGTGTACGGACGAGCACATATTCGTGGACTCTAAAAATAAACGAGGGAGAAATTGTGGGTGGAGAGGGTGGAGAGAGGTGGAGCCAATGGCACGGAAATTCCTCGACGTTTTGAACGCATGCCAAAATGTGCTGGCGCCATCTGATGGCTGGTAGAGGAACCAGCAGTGCAAGAAAAAAAGGGAAAGTTCCGCCCTTTCGGGAAATTTCCTCTATGGATGAACGGGGATGAGCAAAAGGACATTCTCTGGGGGTTGCAGTCTCTACTAAAGGATGCTGGAAAGCTCTTTCTTTGAAGGATATTTTGCAGACGGGTTTCTGTCGTAGCTACAGGACTTTTTGGAGAGAGCTTTGATTGCTCTTTTCCCCCAAGGATATGTGGAGTGGGTTGCTGTCTGGGCTAAAGGAAAACTGGTGCGTGGGGGGGGATGAAGGAAATATGAAGGATATTTCCATTGGTTGTTTTTCGAGGTGCATTTCTTTACCTTCGCTTGGTAATTTCTTTAGAGGAAATTTATTGTTACATGAGGGAAGTTTTTGTTAAAGCTTTCTTTGAAAGGACATTTTGTAATGCAAGGATGTAAATAAAAGGACGAATGTCATGTAGAGTATGTAAAATACATGTCGAATAGACATTTGGAGTTTTAATCGGGAATTATTTCCAACAAATCCCCTGAAAAAAAGAGATGGGACCTAAAAACCTTTTTCTAGAGGGATCTACAGAAGAAATATAGCCCCCCTTATGGCAAGAAACCCCCCTTAAGCTTCTTTTCCATTCAATCCGAACAAATCCAAGCCTCTCTCTCCAGCAATTATTTCTCATTCAATTGTCCGCTCTGGGGACACTTTCCAAAATAAATTTATAGCCTTCCCTTCTATCTCCATCGCCGCAAGCAATTAAATAATAATAAATAAAAAAACAATGCCAAGTAGCTCCATAAAAATTCAAATCAAATATGAAACCATTCATACGTCTTGGGCATATCATCGTACATCATCGTCAGGCAACATTCAACAGATTTATGATTAAAACAACACCAACAAAACAGCAAAAATGTACGAAAAGGCGTGTAAATTAATTGTAGACAAAAGACAGAAACAGCAACAGCAATGGAGAGAAGAAGACCTGAAGACCACACGCAGGCATCAAAGATGGCATCAAAAAAAATATACAAAAAAAATGGAGTGCTTGAAAAATATAAAATAAAAAAGCTTGAAAATGTAAGGCCATAAAAATGTGAAGCTCCTTTTAATTTGTATGACAGTGCCGACACTTAATAAACAATAATCATTGTGCTATGATCTGGGAAGCACTCACACTCCCTGGGACCCTCCGCTCTCCCTACCCCACCTCCCTCTATACAGCCAAGCAAACCCTTTAGCTCTCAATCTTCAAGAGGAACCAAGTTCTCCGCCACGATTATAATACGCTTCACGAATCGTATGGTACCCTTTATTGAAGGGGTTATATTCGAAATGGGCAGAGATTTGTAATGCATAAAAGGCATCATCATCTCCGATACTCTATAATATATAAATAAAATAAATAAGTTAAATAAAAAAAATTCAAATAAATAAAATACAAATAAATTTAAAAAGAAAAATACAGATAAACAACAAAAATACAAATACAAAATAGAATAAAAATATAAAGAAATAAAATAAAAATACT